AGAGAGACCTTCCAGAGGCTGGGTCTCCTCCTCAATGTAGACAAATCAACTCTGTCACCCACCCAATGAATAGAATTCATTGGGGTGGTGCTGGACTCGGTTCAGGCAAAAGCCATCCTGCCACAACCCAGATTCCAAACAAACACTGTCACATGTCATTCAGATGCTCAGACAATACCCCACTACCACCGCGAGGACATGCCTCAGCCTCTTGGGACACATGCCGGTATGCACCTATGTGGTGCGGCACACCAGGATGAGACTCCGACCATTCCAGGCATGGCTCGCTACGGCTTATCACCTGGGTCGGGACAGTCTAGATTCGGTAGTAACAGTACCGCCACGAGTCCTAGGCAGCCTAGGATGGTGTTGGACACTCGCATGATCTGCGAAGGAGTCCCATTCACCACCCCTCAACCATCCATGACCTTCATAACGGACGAGTCAGACCTCGGTTTGGGGGCACACCTAGGACACTTACAGACTCAAGGCATGTGGTCGCAGTCCGAGATCCTGCTCCACATTAACGTAAAGGAACTCAGAGTGGTAAGAGTAGCCTGCCAAATCTTCCATACACTATTGCAAGGTCACTGCGTGGCGGTGCTGACCAACAACACCACTGCCATGTTCTACATAAACAAGCAGGGCGGAGCCCGCTCCTCCCCTCTCTGTCAGGAGGCTCTCCACCTGTGGGAGTTTTGTGTAGCCCACTCCATTCACCTGGAGGCGTCCTATCTTCCAGGAGCACGCAACGAGCTTGTAGACCACCTCAGCAAGTCATTTTGCAGTCACGAGTGGTCTATCCGGACGGACATTACCCACTCCATCTTCCAGATGTGGGGATTTCCCCAGGTGGACCTATTCGCCACAAGGAGCAACAGGAAGTGTCCAACATTTTGCTCCTTCCAAGCACACAGCCCAGGATCAATCTTGGATGTGTTCATGATGTAATGGAGGAACCACCTACTGTATGCCTTCCCTCTGATACCACTTGTCCACAAAGTTCTCCTCAAGATCTGCAGGGACAAATCAGAGATAATTCTGCTCGCTCCAACATGGCCACGTCAACATTGGTACACCACACTTCTGGAGCTGTCAGTCAGCATCCCCATTGCGCTGTGGCTCCTTCCCGATCTAATTACACAGGACCACGGCCGCCTGCTTCACCCAGACCTCCAGTCCCTGCACCTCACGGCCTGGAAGCTTCATGGTTAAACGCAAGGGAGCTCCAGTGCATGGAATTGGTGAGGGAGGTGCTCCTTGGTAGCAAGAAACCTTCCACCAGAGCCACCTACATGGCCAAATGGAAACGTTTTTTTGTGCTGGTAATCTCAGTCGAGTATCTCCACTCCAGGCATCTATACCATTCATCCTAGACTACTTCCTACACCTGAAGCGGCAAGGCCTGGCCGGATTATCTATCAAGGTGCACCTCGCAGCCATCTCAGCTTTCCAACCCAGAGAGTTGGGGCATTCAGTCTTCACCAATCCTATGGTGGGCCGTTTCCTTAAGGGCCTGGAATGCTTACTCCCTCAGTCTCGCCCTTGAGACCTCAATCTGGTCCTAGCTAGGCTTATGGGAGCCCCATTCAAACCACTCGCTACATGTTCCCTTCTGTATCTCTCGTGGAAGGTAGCCTTTCTGGTTGCAATCAGATTGGCCAGGAGGGTATCGGAGCTAAAAGCATTAACCTCTGACCCCCCCTCACACACACACACACACACACACACACACACACACACACACACTCTCTTCCACAAGGAAAAGGTACAACTCAGCTTCTCTCTCCACGGCGGTCTCACAACTCCACCTCACAC